AAAATGCAAACATTGGTAAGGAGTTGTTGGACTTAGAATTTTCACCTTTACTCCAAAACTAATTTTAGGGAACAATTTTACCAAATCTTTGGAGATGCTTTCAGCATCATCATGAGCTTCTTCCAATGAATTGGGGTAAATTTTGCGTGGATGCGCTTATGGGCTGAGTGTGCATGCGTGCACTGGCCACTGGTTTTCAAAAACAAATAGAAACCAGAGGAAGAGAAACGGGCCGCGTGGTCCAGGCTGTAGCTTTCCCATCAGTGAGCCAATTTACGGCGGGCCTAGCCCCTATCATAATTGGGCCAATGGGCCGTCACCCACAGCAGATTCAGCATCCAGCCAGTTCTAGTAGCCCTTCTAGAACTCTCTCCTTTCGTGTTCCTTCCACTCCACGTCCCCACCGTTGCTCGACACGGCCACACGGGATTTTTCCTCCCCACCCACCTCCCTGCCCGCCCCGCCGCGCCGCGTCGCCTCCCCTCTCCCGATCGGAGCCTTGCTCGTATCCGCCATTCCCAGACCTCGAGAGCTACCGTCTGGTCCGGTCCGATCCGACAGATCCCTTCGCACGCCGCGCGTCCCCCGCTATTTCAGGTCTGGTGCTTTGACTATTTCCCCCGGCCCCGCCTATGCGATTTGCGCCCCATTATTTTCGGTCTGGGGTTTCGGTTTCGGCTGCTTGTTCGTGCAAGTCTCAGTGATCTGCGCAACGTTTTTTTAAGTAAGGCATCATCCGTTTCGAGTCCGGTGTAGGATCCATTTTGATTTTGTTTTCCGGTTAGGAAAACTAATTGTGTACGGCTAGTGCTGTCCTGCGGGAAGAAGAGGTTGATCATGATACTCCTACTCCCTTGTCGTCTGATGCCTGAGGCACATGCTGTGATTTGCTATGATGTTTGAGTGGTGACACTGGTAGTAGACTAGTAGTACATGTCGGATGAATTACTGTATTTATGCTTGGTCGTAGGGTGTCCGACGATGGTGTTGAATGCGTGGGAAATTAGTGTCTCACTTCTGCATTTCACTGGCACTGGATTGACGAGGGAGGAATAGTTTCTCCTGTTCAGCTTAGCTGGTGTATTGGTATTTTGGTGGTGGGGAAGAAAGCCTATGTAATTGATCATTAAACATTGATGAACAGTACCGAAATTACTGTGTAGACAATGCAAATTAGTTGGGCAGGGGGCCATGGCCCAGCTTGCTTTTATTAATCTCCGCCTCTGGCAGTAGGTCTCCTTCCTCGAAATGGATAACTGTCGGCTTCTTTCATCACTGGTTTACTGCAGATATGATATTGTAGAATTAACGTTATTGCTGTCAGTGAGTTTTGGACGTCATGTTTGATCATCTAATTTATGGAGGTTTGGTCTTGGGACAAAAGAGTCTGGACTCCACTTGATTGTGTGATGTTGCAGTTTCAGTTATCACATTATGGTTTGCTGTTTATTTACCTATGGACCATGCTGCCACTTGTTCATGTGAATTGATGATTTTTGAACTGGAGCTCAGGCTGGAGTTATGTGACTGTATCTTACTATCTACACGACACAATCATTTAATACCTTTTGCCTGTATTTTGAACCAGGTAAGGTGTTGTAACAGAAGATGCAAGGGGAAGAGGTGGAAGGCAGGGCTCGTTAAGGTTGGGGACCCTTTTGTTGGTTTCGCAGCTTTGGACAGCCAGGGAGCCTTATGCCCGGTTTCTTTGGTGGCGCAAATCCCTTTGACGACCCTTTCTTCACAAAAACCTTTGGTAGCATGATGCAACCCTAGTTTCCCAACCCCTTTCAGCAGCATGATGCAACCTAGCTTCATGAACCTTTGGTAGCATGATGCAACCCTAGCTAGCTTGGGCCAAAATATGTTTTGCGCCCTATGGCGATCTCAATGGAGGCATGCTTGGAAGCCAGGCACATCTCAGTCAAGGCATGAGCAATGCCAGTGGTTTCATTCAGCAGGCCCCTGAACCAAGCAGACCTAAAGGGCCAATTATCAAGGAGTTGTCTTCAGATGACGAGGATGGTGCAGAGCGATGATAAAGAAGATGAGAAGAAGAATGGTAACTTTAGGAAGCATCCAAGGGAAAGCAAAAGAGCCGTATGTGGAGGACCTGGATGAAGAAGTAGAAGGTCAGTTCATTTACCTTTCTTGGGCATGTTACTGTTCCCTGTTCAAATTTGCATTAAGCAATCATTTGAATTTACATTGCCTGATCCTGTCTTGTGCCTTATACCACATTTCTGTCCTTTCTGAAATATTTTCTGGCAATTCTTGGGGACATTCAGTAAATAACATTTTTGGATTCAGCAAATATACATGGACCTCATACAATGTAAATAACTAATCAACTTCATCGATCGTCAGAAAACCTATTGTACCACATAGTTTTCAATATGATCTCATCTCATCTCATGGTATTGCTAGGCAGCCTACTCAATTGATATTCAGCCTTTTGGGGTGACAGGTTATCATTGAACTGCTATTTTATTCTGTTTAGCAGAGTATCTTTTAAAATATTCCCTTAGTTTGTGTTGTAAAGAATTGACATTACAAGTGGAAGCTACTAATGCATACACATTTTTAGCAGATAATAAAAGACCTAAGCATGGACAATTTGGGAGGGAGTTCAGCAGAGCTAGCATCACGTCCACAGCCTCAGACATTTATGTTTCAGAGTTCAACTGTTACATATGGTGGTCCAAATGGAGCCTGTTATACATCTTCAACGACTAGGAGGACTGGTGCAGATGGAGTAAGTATATCTCATGAGTGCTGTTTTCTTCATCTGTATATTTGTTGGGTCCAAAGTTATAGTGTTAATTATTTGTTAATGCGTTAGATTACACTGGAAGAAAGTAAGGAGGCTGACACAACTACTGGTAAAGCATCTCACAGGATTTCACGTGGCATTGGCAGTAAGGTATTATTGATATTCCTCACAGATCTCTTGCTTTCTCTCATCCAATCGCACTGATGTTGTGATTGGAGCTACTTACTATCTGTTGTTGGCACGTTGCAGGGTCACTCACTAGCAAGAAATCTTAATTCTGATGGACGTGTGAACACCCTTCAAACTTTACACAACTTGAATGAAGGTTTAGTGTTTTTCTTTTTTGGTGCCTTATTGTTTTCCTTCCAAACTGATTCTGATGCCATTTTCCCTTTCCATTCAGATGAGCTTGCTGGGTTTGAGGAATCGTGGCAAAGAAAATGCCAGGGAGAATATGCCTGGCTGGGATCCTAGGATGAACATGCTTGGCAACGGGATAGCCTACAGCGCCCCACCTCTATTTCTCTCGCACGCACTCAAACAATTCTTTTTGCCTGATCATATTAGAAGAGAAGGACAGTATAGAGTCAAATTTCTTTTTGCGAAAATCAAGGGTTTGACCATAATGTTTGTTTCTTTGTACTAGCGATGGTTTCTTGAGTTCTTTACACAACTGCTTCGCAACAGTAATCCAATCCCCTAGAGCAATGGCAACTACTGTAGATGGGGTATGAATATTGACTTATATATAGTGGTTTAGATATCCTGTGATAATGGTAATATTTCTGAAGTGTTTTTGAAAAGTAAAGGCAGGAGCTCTGCCGCTCAATTAAGAAGGAAAAAAGAGTTTTATGTACAATAGCACCCACGGTGCCTAAGAACACCGGTCATAGGACCAAGAAATAGCATCCACCACTCACGCACGTGTTTTACCCATAATACACACGGTCATTGGAATAGTGTCCTCTTTGGCTAGATAGGCGACTTGCTCTGCCGCTTGGTGCTCATTTTGAAAATCCTCCTATTCCTTTCCTTCCATATGTTCCACACAATGTAAATAAGCACTCCGTTAAACGTTCGGCATTCTTGCTTGGTAATAATCACTACGAAGTTCTGTTGTAGATAAGACCTTTGGATTTTGACAAAAAAATAAATATTACGGGTATTAAGCAGAACCACAGAACATTGGGGAATGGATCGCTTTGTATGTATGGCTGCATGTACCCACCCCTAGGCATGCATTTAACAAACAAATCTACAGCGTATATAGTATGTGACATAACAGTTAATCACAAATAACAACAGTTAACCACGGTAACAAGATCATGACACAAATCCCATGTAGTCAGCAGCACAAAGGTAGAAGGATGTGTTGTTTGACACCGCTGTCTCATTTGAGTGTATGCCTTCAATTGGCTTTCAAGATCTTGGCCGATACTGATGTTGGTCACACTTCTCTTGCCTGCCACTTGCTAATAATTTTGTTGTGATCACCTGATTTACTTATTGAAGCTTGATTCCTAGAGTTCTGAGATCTTACTCAGTTGCAAATTATGCAGGAAATGTTCACTCTGACTTCAGAGATGTGAATCAAATGCCTGCACTTCCAGCTCTGATCGATCCCGTGGCACGAATTCCTCATGGAACTTTCAGAATGGCTCTTCCATGGGTCGTGCACCCTTTTATGAGTTCCTCTGTAGCATATGCAGGATCACAGTGCTCAGTACCGGTGACTTCACTATTTTGCAGAAAATTGAAGCTTGTGACAGTTTTAGTAGTCAAGAGCTTCACTCGCAGACAACTGAAAGTCAGAAGCTTTCCTTTACTTTGAGCAGTTCTATCCTAGTGCTCCAATCACTGTAGTTTAGTGCTGCCTGAGATGCAATTAAATTCTGTTTTGATGGGGAGAATTATTTCTTGGGAACTTTACTGAATTTGGTGAAATCTGAAGAAAAGAAACCATCCCTGATCTTATCCATCAGGTTTTGGTGATGTAGCCTGTTAAACCTTCATGAATAACTCGTATGCCTTTTATGTTGCTGTGAGCCTCAGGGTCTGTATGTTTGTAGTTTTTCTTCCAAAAAATGTATTCTAGCTGCCAATAAGCTACGCAAAGTACATTGATTACGGTTACATCTAGAGAGAAGCAGCTAAACAAATAAAGTCGCATATTATATATAGTAGTGTCAAACGTGGCCGTCAGATTCAGGTGGCTTCTCCGTGTTCTTCTGCGGCGACCGGCTGATTTCCCCGGCGGCTGCCCTGGTCTGCTGCTGCACCACCAACGTTGACACCTGGCATCCAAAGTCCGTGGACGTGAGCAGGTCCCCGAGGACGCCGAGCTCCAGGTGCTCGCTCCAGTCCGATATGCCGACCGTCAGCGGTGACTTGGGGCCGTCCGCTCGCCGGCCGACGATCAGCAGGTCCGACGCCGGGCTGGACTTCCGGATGATGCCCACCATCTCATCGGAGCCACAGACCAGGTTCTCGCTGTAGGCGACGCGGTGGTCGTCGACCCACAGGCTGACGTACTCCTGCAGCGCCTCCTCGTCGAGCCGGTCCTCCTCGGGGTCGCCGCCCTTGCGCCACTCCGGCGGCGGCAGGAAGCGGAACACTGTGAGGCCGATGGGCGCGTCCTCGGCCATGTACGTGGCGAGCGCGAGCGCCTCCCGGTCGTCGGGCCCGCCGAGGAAGTAGAGCGCGATGCGGTGAGGGAAGCCGTCGGTGGCGGCCCCGGCGGGCACGACGGAGAGGCTGCCGCGGTCGACGAGGATGGCGACGGAGCAGGGGGAGTAGTTGAGCACGTTGACGTTGGCAGCCTGGACGGATCCGGCGCTGGCCGTGGTGTTCTCGACAGAGCCGTCGATGGCAAGGCGCTGGTGGAAGGGCACGACGATGAGCATGGCGCGCTTCTCGAGCGCGACGGCGCAGGCGTCGTCGTGCATGGTGGCGTAGGGCGCGATGCAGACGTAGGGGAGCAGCGACGCGGACCCCACGGGGCGCTGCTGCACGAAGTACTGGAAGGCGTTGACGATGCGCTCCGAGTCGGTGCCGCCCGACGGCACGCAGTTCCGGTCGCCGTGCTTGAAGGCGCGGAGCACGGGCTGGTGAGCCCCACGAGCGGCGCGAGGTGGAGGAGGTAGACGGCGACGGGTGACACGGGCGACGCGCTGGCGGCGTCCAGCAGCGCCAGCATGGGCGCCACGTCCGCCTGCGAGTGCACGCACACCAGCACCCGCAGCTCGTCGCCCAGCTTCTTGTGCTGCACCGTGCGGCGGCGGTACGCCACGTACTTCTCCTCCGGGTGGTACATGTGTGACCACCGACGCCGTGGCGGCGCCCAGCAGCAGCACGTTGAGCATGAACGCGGCGTACACCTGCTCGTCGAAGACGTCAGAGTCCATGAACGCCGAGGCGTAGGCGACCTCGGTGATGCCCTTGAAGTTCATCATGAGGCCGAGGATGAAGGCCTCCCGGGCGGCATCCCGCAGTAGAGGCAGGGCAGCATGCAGGACACCTGCTTGGCGGCGACGCCGACGACGAGGAAGAACTGGAGGAGGAGGCATATGGAGGCATCGGCGATCTTGAATACGTCCAGCCTCAGGCCTCCCTGCGCGAAGAGCAGCGGCATGAGCACCCCGGCGACGAGGCGGTCCAGGCGCTCCCCGAGGGTGACCCCGAGCGGGGCGCCGCCGGGGAGCATGAGCCCCAGCATGAAGGGCCCGTAGGTGGCGTGCAGGCCTATGATCTCGCCGGCGAAGCTGCAGACGATGGTGGTGAGCAGCACGGCGACGAGGCGCGCCTCGCAGAGGAGGCCGCCCTCGGGGACGTCGCGCATGAGGCGCAGGATGGCCGGGCGCGCCACGAAGGCCAGGAAGCCGATGAAGATGGCGGAGGTGAGGAGCGACAGGAAGCCGATCCGCTGGACCTTCTCCGATGGGCTGGACGCGAGGAGGTAGGACGTGATGCCCGCGATGGAGAAGGTGTTGGCGAAGTCGCCGATGAGCGCGGCGGACATGGCGAGCGCGCCCCAGCTTGGAGGAGAGGAGGTTGAGGTCACCCAGCGTGGTGCAGACGACGATGAAGGCCGAGAGCGACCACCACACGTTGAGGTTGGTGAGCATGAAGTTGGCCTTCCACGGCGCCGGCACGTGCGCCCCGCCCGCGGCGGCGGCGGCGTACATGGCCAGGTGCGGCCCCACGGTGCCGAAGAAGGCGATGGCCACGGCCTTCTTCCCGGACTTGACGATCATGCCCAGGTCCGTCTTCACGCCGATGACGAAGATCTGCAGCACGAAGGCGTACGCGCCCACCGTGTTGAGCTGCACCACCCCTCCGGCGTGGCGAAGAGCTCGCTGGCGTGCGGGAGCACCTGGCCGAGGAGCGACGGCCCGAGCAGCGCGCCGGCCTGTTGTGTGCACACGCTGCAATTAGCGCGCCGGCCGTGTACTACATACAGCATTTGGCACGCATGCATCATGCAACGTAAAGTACTCCTACGTACCACGATCTGGGAGATGACGAGGGGCACGTTGGCCCGGCTGAGCAGGGCGTGGACGCCGCGGGAGAGCGCGAAGACGGCGCAGACATGGTAGAGGAGGAGCGGAAGTAGAACTTGAGCGGGTCGTCGCCGGCGAAGACGCCGGCGGAGGTGGCGACGGCGTTGGGCGGGAAGCAGAAGCGGCTCTTGTTGACGGTGCCCTCCCTTGCAGGTGCGGGCGGGCGGGCGGCGTCTCACGCGTTATGGGCGGCCGGGCCGGGGCTCGGGGTCGGGGAGGACGAATGCAGGGGAGGATGGGGCGCCGGGAAGAATGGGGAAGAATTTTCCATGGCGCGCCGCGAATGCATGCAATGCAGAGATGAGATGGTGCGCGCGCCAACGACGACGACTAGCACGGGACCGGGACGACGCATGGCATGGTTAAGCGATAAATGTGGACCGCCGACGAATTCAGTACGGTTGTGGTGCAAGTAGTGGCCTCGGCATGTCATGGATATGTGCCTTATTTATTTAATTTTACTTCTTATGTATCTCTACTTATAAGAGCCTGATTTTTTGTTCTTGTTCATGCAAACATACAATTTTGTTATTGTTTGCCTATAAAAAACTATAAATTATGAGTTGTCCTTTTAAAGTTGATTGTGTAATATTGTTGTCGCAAATTCTTAGGTAGCGTTTACGCACAGACCAAAGCAGCCTAGCCATTAAAGCGGACCAGGCGTGGGCAGGCCGCTTTAACTAACTTACTGCTTAGACTTGTTTTACCTTTGCATTCGATTCAGCCCGGCCAGGCGAAATGGTGTTTGTGACCCAATACTCAGCCGGGCTCAAACGCCAACCGCCACCAACCGGTCAAGCACAAATTGTGTTTGCCAATTTGCGTACTCGGCCCGGCCCAAAGAGAAGGAAGAACGACATGATCAATAGAAAGCAAACACTTTGAATGAAAATGTACAAAAGACATAGGCCTTAGACTAATTCCATTTAATCAACACATACATTGCGGCTACATTGCATAATCAAAGAAGCAAATTAAAACGATGGCGAGAATTAAGTAGTTTGGCAAGCCGAGAAGGGCAACAAGTTAACGAGAAAAGAGAGTACATGAATCAAAGTGGCACGTGCCAGCCTAATGCGATCATCCTATTGTGTCATCATCGGCCTAATTAAAACAACAAATTGTGGCACATGAACGACTTGAGTGATGAGACCAACTACAACCATAAACAAGATCAAGATGACAGCATTTTTGCAACAGCCTTGCAGCCCAGGTGAATGAGGATAGATTTCAGAACCTTGAGCTATCACCAGTTCATAGGATGCTGATGCATCCCCATGAGGGGCATCAATTGGTAACAGCAAGAATTCTTGAGGTACCCTTGCATTAAAATCTCTAAGAGCATCATCATAGTTGTTGTACTTCTGATAGATAACCCCTTCTTCCCTAAACACTTGCTTAGCACACTCATACCATGTAAAATAAATCCTAGGTTTCTTCCCTTCAAAGACCACATAGCAAGGAGGCATTTTCTGAAACCAACCAAATGTAGAACATGTAAGTGGTCTGAATGACATGCCTCAGTCGACCATTCAGTTTGAATGATGGTGAACATCATCGGCTACTTGATAAAAAAATTAGCCTCAACTTAGTAGTTTTGTGGTTTTTTTCCTTGTTTAGTCATTGGTGGCTACCAAGAATTGTAAGAACCAAATAAAGAGGCAAATAAACAACAGTTGCACTCACTGCCATATAGACCTTTTGATCAGTTGCACTCACTGCCATCAGCCATCACAAGAGGATGTTGTTGCTATGGAGTACAACTGAGCATAAGTGTAGAATGGAAGGATAGGCAAATAAAGAACAAAGCACAACAACAAAACCATCAAAACAAGAATAAGGTAGCCACCTCATGTTTGTTTTATGCATCATAGGCCTTTAAATCCCACAGTTACCACCAGGGCATAAACAACACAAATAGACAACTAGTTATCAAATAAAAAGTAGCCAACAGAGGCTACAAATAAGTTTCTTACAATACCAAGTTCAGCCCAGCAGCCAAGGGCTCAAATGTTCCCAAATCCTTGCCTATTGTTAGCCACCCTCCTAGGCAAACTACACCATCAAGGTCAGGTGTCAAAAGAACAAGCAGACTACACAAAAGCTCCTGTTGTCAAAAGAAGAGAGAGTGGGTGAGGGGGGTGGAGGAACTATACATCTCTACAGTCAACCCCCTCCTGGCCTTCTAGCCCTTCATGTGTAGTGAAACTACACATAGTAGTTTTTGGCCAGAAAGGTCCTAAGCCAAAGGGCCCTGTGGGCATCACTCATGTTCACAAAGCCCCTGCCTTGAACCTTGTTGTCCAAGAGGAAGGTGTAGGCAACAATAAGTGCCTCCTCACTGAAGCCAGGCATCTCCATCATAGCAAGGTACATATTGGCATCAACATGGGCAGGTCCAGTCTCCCTAAGAGCATTGGCCACATTGTTCACAGCATCTGACATGTTAGTCAACATGAGCATCTTCTCCTTAGAGAAGTTCCCTCTCTTCCTCTTTGGGACAGCAACTGAGGAGGTAGGAAGCAGTTCAGTGGTCTTGCTATCCCCTCCCTGATCACTAGGAACTGTGGTGTGGGTCAAAGGAGGACCATCAGCCTTGGCACCAACACTGTCAGCCTAGTTCTGTCCTAAGGCTTCACCAGACCCAAGTGCAAACTTGCCTGTGGCCATGGCATTAGCAAAGATAGCCTCCATCTCAGTGTAGAACCTAATAGGGCAGTTAAGAAACTCTGCATCTTTAGGATGGTCCTGCAGGGTTGGGCAATTGTAGTTTAAGAAAGACAAATGTAGGTAGTCAAGGCAAAGACGAGATCGAATTGCTACCTTGTAGTGGCCAAGGTAGTGCTCTTGCTCAAGCATGATAGCATGAGCCTGGTCATCCCAAAGAGCACCACTAAGGTCCTTCAGCTTGCTCACCCTAGCCCATTTCTGCCTCCACTTCCTCAAGTGGTTGTACACTTGAGTTGGGCTAACGACCTCCCCACAGAACAGCTTGAGGGCTTTGGCCACATAATTCACATCTTTGTCCTTAAAAACCTTGTCAGGCCTGCTATCATCACTAACAAGGGCAGCCATCCTCCTTAGCACAAAGCCAGAGGTGGTGTTAGTCCACCTCATTGCCCTCACAGCCCCATTCCCAGCCACAGGAGCAGCAACATCAATAGGGTTTGCTGCACCTGGAGCAGCACCAGCACCAGCTGCAACAGGAGCAGCAGCACTAGCACCAGCACCAGCTACAACAGGGGCAGAACCACCATTGATGAGCTGCTCCATCACTAAAGTACCAGCAACAAACCCACCCTCAAATGCACCTGAATCCATCCTAGGGCTGGCATGTAATAAAATCAACAACATAATTAGTCAAGAACAGACTGACAGCAATATTAACAATTGCATGAATAAACAACAGACTGACAGATCATGAAGAACAGACTGACAGTAAGATTAACAACAACAGAATGAATGAAGCATAAAATTGGTCTCAGCTTTGTCCACCAAATTATTACATCACCATGACACACACATGAGTTCCATAGCAGGGTACAGAAGCTAAATTCAAGAACATATTACATCAAATAGTGTTTGTTCCCCTCCCTTCCCACATAGCATTGCAAATGGCATCCCTTATTTTAGCCATGTCAACAGAGTCTTGGTCCAGATGGGCTGGGGGCAGGTTGGTTGGATCAACAGAAGCAGTGAAACCTTCCTTATCAGGCACTACTTCATCAATGCCAAAACCTAGGATCTAGTTGTGCAAAATGGCACAGGCAACTACAAGCTTCACTTGTGTCCTATACTTGTGGAAGGATTTGTTGTCCAAGATCCTAAACCTGCCCTTCAGTGCACCTATAGCCCTCTCCACAGTCACTCTAAGTGATGAGTGCCTAAGGTTATAGAGCTCCCTTGCATTGGTGGGCCTGTTCCTTGGGCCATACTCAGACAAATGGTACCTAACCCCCCTGTAGGGAGGTAGGAAACCATTTTTGCATGCATACCCAGCATCTACCAAGAACATTTTACCTACACAAGACATCTACTGTGAGAGTGTGTGTTAATAGGCCATGGAATATGTAATTAGTGTTGGTGTGCAATTACCTTCTGCAAACTCAAGCCATCTTCCACAGCTCAAACATCTCGCCAAAATAGTTGCATCATGGGCGAGAGCCCTCCCAAATACCAGGACATAAGTGAATTTCATATCACAATTCACACGGCTACCATAACATTTGGGTGGGATCCTTTTTCCTACCCCCGAAAGCTTGTTGCATGCGCCTAGGAACCCTTGCTAGGAAATGAGTGCCATCTATAAAGCCAATGACATCCTAAAAAGCATGGGTCAGTCATTGCAACAGGTCTAATGTAACTAATGAACCCAGGGTATGCAATTACCTTAAAATATGGATTCCATGTATGGCTTCCAAGAATCTTTGGGTGAGTGGTAGTGCTAGCTGGCTTTATC